TGTTTTCTTGATATTGAGTCTCTCTCTATCCATACTGAAGCCTGCAGTCTCTGACCTTCCACAGCAAGCACTTCAGGTAGATATGTTAAAATCAGTGGTAGACTTTAGTGACTGGAAATGAGCTTGAACAATCACATATATTGTTCACTATGCTAGGAATGACAGTGAAGAAGGTCTCATTCATGGTTAAAAAGAAGTAAGTGCTGTTGGTAACAGGATAATATCCATAGACAAAAAAGGGGAAGAATAGCTAATATGAATATTTTTAAAATGTTACTGTCGGGTGCCGTCAAGTGGAGTACCACTCATAGTGACTCTGTGAATGACAGATCTGAACCCTGTCCTATCCTGTGCCATCCTAACAATCTCGGACAGATGGATCCGAGCTGAAAGATCCCATTGCTGCAATCCACCTGATTGAGAGTCTTCCTCTTTTTTGCTGTCCCTCCACCTTCCCAAACATCCTGCCCTTCTCCAAGGGGCCTCTTCTGCTAACATGTCCAAAGATTGTAAGATGAAGCTTAATCATCTTTGCCTCCAAGGAACACTCAGGCTGTACCTTCTCCAAGACATATGTGTTCATTTTTTTGGCAACCATGGGATATTCAGTACTCTTTCCAACACTGTGGTTCAAAGGCATTAATTATTCTTCTGTCATCCTTGTTTATTTTCCAGCTCTCAACTGCATAGCAAGTGACTGAAATGACCATAGACTTAATCAGGTGTACCTTAATCCTCAAACTAACATCATTACTCTTCAATAACCACCTACTAAAACCAAAGATTAAAAAACAGGATTTCTACCAGCTTCTGTAGTCTGAAAATTGGTCAAACATGCAGTCATAATGCATTGATAATCATTACTGACTGGAAAGTGAAAGTTGGGAATAAAGAAAGACCAGTAATTGAAACAGGGCCTTTGTGAAAGAAATATGCCAATGATCACGTAATAAAATTTTGCACCACCAACACTTTGTTGTTGTTGTTATGTGCCATCGAGTCACTTGCGACTCATAGCGACGCTATGTACAACAGCCCCAAACTCTGCTCTGTCCTGTGCCAATCACACTGTCTCTGACACTCCCATCCCAATTATCCCAGTCACTGAATCAATCCACCTCATAGAGGGCCTTCCTCTCCTGCGCTGTCCCTCCACCTTCCCAAGCATGATGTCACTCTCTAAGGACCGGTCTCTCCTCACAACATGTCCAAAGTATGTTAGACGGAGCCTCAGAATCCTTGCCTCCAAGGAGCCATCCGGTTTAACCCTTTCCAGGACAAATCTGTTTGTTTTCCTAGCAGTTCATGGTATTCTCAATACTCTTCTCCAGCACCACAGCTCAAAAGCATCAATTCTCCTTCTATCCTCCCTGGTCATTTTCCAACTCTCTGATGCATAACAAGTGATTGTGAAGACCATGGCCTGTATCAGATGCACCTTAGTCTCCAGAGAGACACCATTGCTCTCCAGTACTTTGGAGAGGTCCCTAACAGCAGACTCTCCCATGGCAATGCGCCTTTTAATTTCTGGGCTGCTGATGCCAAGACTGTTGACTGTGGAGCCAAGCAAACTAAAGCTTTGTACAATCTCAATCTCTTCACCATCCATCCTGATGCTGCCAATTGGTCCAGTGGTGAGAATCTTTGTCTTCGATCCTCAGTCCATATTAGAGGCTGCAGTCCTTGACACTCTGCAGCAGGTGCTTCAGGTCCTCTTCAGTTTCAGCAAGCAGGGTTGTGTCATCTGCATAACACAGATTGTTGATAGATTGCCCACCAATCTTGACTCCACATTTCTCCTCATAGAGTTCTGCCTTCCGGATAATCTGTTCTGCATACAGGTTGAAAAGGTAGGGAGGTAGGATGCATCCTGGGCATATGCCCTTCCCAATTGTAAGCCCACACTGCCAACAATTTACTCTTTGTAAATTTTTTTTAATTTATTATTTTATTATTTTTTTTTTTAGATCAAAGCTTTTGGGGGATGAGCCAAAGAGGCTGGTAAAACGAAGTTCAATGATCGTGTCTGGCCAGGGTCATTCACACTTTGCAAACACCAAAAGTGAAAATACTTTTTTAAAAGTAGCATGAACAACTAAAATTGTGGACCTCACCAGATGAATATAGACTCAAACTGACTATATTAATGAAAAGAAATGATGGAGAGTGCATCATTATCACTCAGTACAAGGCCAAAGGCTGACTGATACAGACCCTCAGTTGCTCATATGCAAATTCAAGTTGAAACTGAAGAAAATGAAAACAAGTACATGATCTGTGCATGTCACACCTAAATTTAGAAGCCATCTAAAGAATAGATTTGATGCATTGAACATTAGTGACACAAGACAAGTTGTGGTATGGCATCAGGGACATAAGGAAGTAAAAAGCCAAAGATGAGATAGCAGAAAGAAACCAAAATATATTTCAGAAAAGAAATAAGGTAACATGAAAGGAAGAAGTGATGAACATAGAGAAGCCAAAGTGAATGGAAGCATTGCTATTTTAAGAGAAGTTAACTGAACATTTCTAAGAGTAGCTCAAAAAGACAAAATATAAAGAACTGTGCAAATACTTGGAGTTACAAAGCGAAAAAGTTTCAGCATTTGTCAAGCTGAAAGTACTAAAGGAAAAAAAAATCAATCCTCAGTTTACAATAGTAAATGTTTCTCATGGTAAAATATTGAATTACACTTTCAGTATTTTGCCAAGGAAGCAACAACCAATAACAAAAAATTGGAAAGTTTCACAGAGTCACTGTATCCAAAATAATTGGTTAATGTTCATCCATTTCAGGAAGTAGTTCAAGAGACAAGTGTACTGAAATAAATAACTGCAAGCTGCATTGTAGGCAATGGCAAAAAAAGTGCCACATATATATGAGGTGGCCACTCTATGCCAGGAGATTTCAGACAGTACCTGGCCATCTAACTATAAGAGACCCATGTTTGTACCCATTCCAATGAAAAATATTTTGCTATGACAATTAAATAGGTGAAGCTGTGCATCAACTGAGAATGGCCAGAAGGTCAAGCTGGATTCAGAAGAGAACATGGACTATAGGCCATCCCTGCTGAAGTCAGGAGGATCTTGGATGAAAGCAGAAACTACCAGAAAGTTACTTACCTTTCTTTAGTGCAAAGGCATTCAGCTGTGTGGATCATTACAAATTATGGATAATATTGGAGTGGAAAACGCAGAATACTTAAATTATGCTCACACAGAACCTGTACACAGACCATGAACAGTTGTTTGAACAGAAAAAGGTGAAGTTAAGAAAGGTATATGTGAGGATTGGAGGATCACACCTCACTGACAACCTGTGATACACAGATGATTCAACCTCCTGAAAATGAAGACTGGAAGCACTAACTGATGCAGATAAAAGACTATCGCCTTCAGTATAGATTACACTTCCACATAAAGCAAGAATTGTCATAGCCAGACCGTAGTAAATGCCATGATGCATACAGAAGATTGAGTTTATCAAGGATCTTCTATTTTTCTGGACCCATAGTCAACCATGGGAGCAGTAGTCAAGAAATCAATGTTTGATTCAAGCATATTGACTGGTGAGGACCCTAAAGTGCTAAAGAGCAAGGTGTCAGTTTAGACTAAGGTGTGCCTGACTTAAGCTGTGGTATTTTTAATTACATCATATACATGTGCAAGTTGGAAAATTAATAAGGAATGATTTTGATAACTTCGAATTGTGGTGTTGGTCAAGGATGTTGGATATTCATGGACTGCCCAAAGGACAAATGTATCTTGGAAGATAAGCAGCCAGGATGTTTTTTGGAGATAAGGATGTGAAAATGTGTCTTACCTATTTTGGGTTTGTTACAGGAGGAACCAAATCCTGGAGAAGTACATCAAGTATAAAGAGACAGTGAACAAGAGGAAGACCCTCAAGGAGATGGATTAACTGCAGCAGTGGCTATTATAGTGCCACAGAGATTGTGAGATGAACAGGATCAGGCAGGGTTCTGTTCTGTTGTAATTAGCATTCCATGAGTGAGAATCAGTGACAATATTTACAGTGTGGAAATTGGTAAAGAACCAGGAATGGGTAGGAAATGAAATGGTGGTTTTATACCTTTGAAAGTAGGATTACTATTCTCAGCACTTTATATATTGTTCTAAGGTTTTATCTTGCACTGTATGCTATTGGAAGATTTGTACAAATAGTATTGATTTATTAATAGTCTGCATAAAATTTTTTAATACAGTAAGAATTTAAAGTTACGTTATTGGTGTCATATTTGCAAAACATTTTTTTAAAAGTTATGGTTACTGATACTCCAGGGCTGGTAATAACAAGCTCAGGTAGTATAGTGGTTAAGTACTTGCATGGCTGCTAACCAGAAAGTTGGCATCTTGCCTAATAATGTCTCCCTTTCCATGTTTAACAGTCCTCCAAGTTATTTGCAAATAAAATGTAATATTAACTAGAAAATAATGAATCAGGAATTCCCTTTGGTAGTTTGAGGGAGCCCCTTCTGAGCCCCATAGCATGGGACTAGGACCAAGGAGCTAGTCCAAGAAAATCCAGGAGGGAGAGTCTGAAGGCCTTGAGAGGTGAGGCTGCGTGCCGTCTCCAGGAAAGTTGCTGCTCACTCCAGCCAGTTAGATTTGTGCATGCTGTTGTTAAATTTTTCTGTTTTTCAGGAGAACCAGAAACCCAGATTTTTACATGACATTTTGGTCATTTCTTTAATGTGCCTTTGTCTTTTTTGCTTTTGATGTTGTAGTATCTGTGGTTGGACTCTACTTGAGTTAAACCTGTTTTACCTCTAGGGTCAGGGTCTAGAGTCCTAATCTAGTTTGGTAAGCCAGCTGTGACTGTCTCTTTGACCTCATATAACCTCTGTCCTCTCCCCGCCTCTAAAACTAAGGCCTGGGGACTCCTCCCTGGTGTTGTACTCCACTTCTTTAGCTCGTTCTGACCTCCTGCCATTGGGATGCAGAGTGGGCATTTATATATTCACTTCTTTCCACAGTAGAAAGAAGCCGGCTTCAAGAAATGCTGTCCCTTCTGGGACTAGAGATGTACCAAATCCAGAAACTCAGCCTTCAGGATTCTCTACAGATCAGTTCTGACAGCATGAAGAACTGGGCTCCTCAGGTACCCAAAGACTTGCCTTGGAATTTTCTAAGAAAGCTGCAGGCCCTCAATGCTGAGGCCAGAAACACCACCATGGTGCTGGATGCACTGCAGGATGTGCGGCTTGAGGAGAAAGAGGGCCAGATGGAGGAGGAGGTCCTCTACTGGGGCTCAACCGATGAGGCGGCTGCTGACATCTACTCCTTCTCTGAGCTGCCCACCCCAGACACGCCAGTGAACCCCCTGGACCTCCTCTGTGCCCTTTTGCTTTCCTCAGACAGCTTCTTGCAACAGGACATCATTTTAAAAATGTTCCTCTGCCAGTTTGCACTCCCACTTGTGTTGCCTGACTCAGAAAATCACTACCACATGTTTCTGCTATGGGCCCTAAGGGGCCTGGTGAGGACATGGTGGTCTCAGCCTCTGAGGAGCCCAGGGAGCTTCAGAGAAGATAGCGTCATTCTTTCCAGGATGCCCACCTTTGCATTTGTACGTATGGATGTTAGCAGCAACTCTAAATCGCAGCTTCTCAATGCCATCCTCAGCCCCAGCCACAAGCCACAAGATTGCTTCTGGCATCGAGACCTGAACTTGGGTGCCAGTTCTCGGGAAATTGCAGATGGGCTTGTTGAAATTTCTTGGTTTTTCCCTAGTGGCAGGGAGGACTTGGACATTTTCCCAGAACCTGTAGCTTTCATAAATCTGAGAGGGGATATTGGGTCTCATTGGCTGCAGTTTAAGTTATTGACAGATATCTCTTCAGCTGTGTTTATACTGACTGATAATATCAGTAAAAAAGAGTACAAACTGCTATTTTCTATGAAAGAATCAAACACAAAATACTATTTTATCCTGAGTCCTTACCGAGGGAAGCGAAACACAAACCTTAGATTCCTGAATAAATTGATTCCTGTGCTAAAAATCGACTACTCGCATGTTCTTGTGAAGGTCAGCAGCACAGACAGTGAGAGCTTTGTGAGGAAGCTGCAGTCTATTGTGCGCTGTGTGATGCGGTCCCCCTGCCGGAGAGTGTCCGTGGAGGACATGGCAAATGCAGCCCGCAAGCTGGGCCTCCGAGTGGATGAGGACTGTGAAGAGTGTCAGAAGGCCAAAGAGCGCATGGAGAAAATCACTCGAAAAATCAGAGATCCAGAGGCCTACAAACAGGAGGAGCTGCGACTACAAGGAGAGCCCTGGAGGAAGGTAGCCCAGGTTGAGAAGGAGCTCTGCCGGCTCCAGTGGGCTGGAGACCCTTCGGAGAAGTGCTGGTCTGAACTGAGGGGAAGGTTGCTGGAGCTCCGGGGGCAGCAGAACAGCCTTGATCCCACCTGGGGACTGCAGGAGTTTGTTAGGGGTATCAGCAGTCCCTCGCCATGTGAGAAGCAGTACTTCCTGAGGTGGATGGAGTTTGGCCTGGCTAGGTTGGCCCAGCAGAGGCTGAGGCCTCCTCCAGAGACCCTCTTCAGCCTGAGGGCCAAATACTATGGGACGCTGGATGCCACAGAGCCACTCTGGCCTGATCCTCTGGGGGTGGAGCACTTCCTACGGGAAATGGGGCAGTTCTATGAAGCTGAAAGTTGTCTGGTGGAGGCAGGGAAGCTGCCGGCATGCCAGAGGAGGTTTGCCCACTTCCCAGGTTTGGCCTTGGAACTGCTGCTCCGGGGGCTCCCACTGGAGCTTGTTGATGGGGGCAGCCTGAGTGTCCCCTTGCGCTGGGTCACTGGGCTGCTAAGAGAGCTACACACGCGGCTTGAAAGAAGGTCACGTCTGGTAGTTCTGTCAGCGCTTGGGGTACCAGGCACAGGCAAGTCCACGCTGCTCAATACCATGTTTGGACTGCGGTTTGCCACTGGGAAGGGCAGCAGCCATCGAGGGGCCTTCATGCAGCTTGTGGAGGTGGCCGAGGGTTTTAGCCAGGACCTGGGCTGCGACCACATCCTAGTGATAGACTCAGGAGGGTGGATTGGTGGGGCCTTGACCACAGCAGGGGAGAGGTTTGAGCTAGAGGCCTCCTTGGCCACTTTGATAATGGGGCTGAGCAACGTCACTGTAGTAAGCTTAGCAGAAACAAGGCATGTCCCCTTGGCTCTTCTGCATGCATTCCTGAGGCTTGAGACCACAGGGCACACCCCTAGCTACCAGTTTGTATACCAGAATGTTCATGGCACGTCTGTGCCTAGCACCCAGTTGAGAGATGGGAGACAGTACCTAGAGTCACTAAGTGATGGGGGCCTGACTGTGGCCTGTGGGGAGATGCAAGGGGACAGTGTTCGAGCACTGGCCAACGTGGCCTTTGGTGACCTTGAGAAACAGCACATCTGGCACATTCCTGGCCTGTGGCATGGGGTACCCCCTATGGCTCCTGTTAGCTTGGGATACAGTGAAGCCATTTTTGAATTGAAGAGATGCTTGCTGGAAAACATCAGGAATGGTCTGTCCAGCCAAAACAAGAATATCCAGCAGCTCATTGAGCTGGTGAGGCAACTCTGAGTTCAGGGAGAAGAGAAGCTGAGCTGCAGAGCATCTGCTGTGCAGGGCCTTTGTGAACAGGAGTAAGTTTCCTGGAGAGGTGTGTTCCTGGACTGGGATCCCCAGCCCCAGACTAGGCTTGTCGAGAAAGTGTCTCATACCTGGCCCAACATACAACAAGCCAGAGACCAGGAGCTTGGTGCCTCTTGAACATTGTTCAGAAAAGAAATAATCACTCAGACAAGTACCTTAGGTTTAGCGGAGACACAAAGAGGAGTCTTTCTCTGGCTCAGAGCACCTTCATGGTTCCTTTGAGGCAGGTGTCTTGCACAGCTGACCTCTTCCCTGCAGCCCTGGCTGGTAAGTAGCTTCCTCATTCTCCCTAGACCTTGGCAGTTGAGGACACCCAGGAGAGAGGGGTGAGTGTCATTGTCCTGAGCACTCAAACCAGGACTGGGGCACCATGTAGATTGTGCGTGGCTCTGCAAGCACCAGAGACATTTGAGCAGCATGATCCACCCCAATGGGTGTGTGTCACTGTAGCATGCCAGGCATGGGGAAGCCTTTCCCAATGCTCTCCCTGCTCCCAGAAAGAGTTGCTTGCTCCCTTTGCTTACCAGCCCCACAGCACTTTGTTTATACCTCTATGATGACATTCAACAGAGTATTGTAATTGATCTGTTTACACGTCTGTCCCACCCCTTAGACTGTGAGCTCCTTGAGGGCAAGAGCTGTGCATTACCTTTGTATCCTCAGTGCCTGGCACATTGTAGGCACATAATAAATGTTTGTTGAGTGAAAGAA